CGTTACCTGTCCAGGTAGACAACACTTGTTAACATACATCGTCAGCTCTACAGGTAGATAACACTAGCCCCCCCCCCCCCCACACACACGGCAAGTTTCTCCTAGTGATGTGTAGCATAAGATAACTTGGTACAAATGTCTGAATTAGCATATATATTCTAAAGGTGCGGAAAATAGGTCTAAATTCATAAGTCTGGCCCACACAACGTTAAAACATTAAGTCAGCTTCCCCATGCTCAGTGAGACACCTTGATAAGTACCAACAGACAGCGCCTCTCTCTCTCTCTCTCTCTCTCTCTCTCTCTCTCTCTCTCTCTCTCTCTCTCTCTCTCTCTCTCTCTCCCTCTTTCGTTTAGGTGACTGAGTATCGAGCCGGAATTTATCTTTTTTTTATTGGCACATTTGCTACCAATAATGCTGCTGCTGTTGTTGCCACTGCTGCTGCTGTTGTTGCCACTGCTGCTGTTGTTGTTACCACTGCTGCTGTTGTTGCCACTGCTGCTGTTGTTGTTGCCACTGCTGCTGTTGTTGTTGCCACTGCTGCTGCTGTTGTTTTCCACGTGCTGTTGTTGTTACCACTGCTGCTGTTGTTGTTACCACTGCTGCTGTTGTTGTTGCCACTGCTGCTGTTGTTGTTGCCACTGCTGCTGTTGTTGTTGCCACTGCTGCTGCTGTTGTTGTCACTGCTGCTGTTGTTGTTACCACTGCTGCTGCTGTTGTTGCCACTGCTGCTGTTGTTGTTACCACTGCTGCTGCTGTTGTTGCCACTGCTGCTGTTGTTGTTACCACTGCTGCTGTTGTTGTTGCCACTGCTGCTGTGTTGTTGCCACTGCTGCTGTTGTTGTTGCCACTGCTGCTGCTGTTGTTGCCACTGCTGCTGTTGTTGTTGCCACTGCTGCTGTTGTTGTTGCCACTGCTGCTGTTGTTGTTGCCACTGCTGCTGCTGTTGTTGCCACTGCTGCTGTTGTTGTTACCACTGCTGCTGTTGTTGTTGCCACTGCTGCTGTTGTTGTTGCCACTGCTGCTGTTGTTGTTGCCACTGCTGCTGCTGTTGTTGTCGCCACTGCTGCTGTTGTTGTTGTCACTGCTGCTGTTGTTGTTGCTGCCACTGATGCTGCTGTTGTTGTTGCCACTGCTGCTGTTGTTGTTGTTGCCACTGCTGCTGTTGTTGTTGTTACTGCTGCTGTTGTTGTCACTGCTGCTGTTGTTGTTGCCACTGCTGCTGTTGTTGTTGCCACTGCTGCTGTGCTTTTTGTTGCCACTGCTGCTGTTGTTGTTGTTGCCACTGCTGCTGCTGTTGTTGTTGCCACTGCTGCTGTTGTGTTGTCACTGCTGCTGTTGTTGTTGCCACTGCTGCTGCTGTTGTTGTTGCCACTGCTGCTGTTGTTGTTGTCACTGCTGCTGTTGTTGTCACTGCTGCTGTTGTTGTCACTGCTGCTGTTGTTGTTGTCACTGCTGCTGTTGTTGTTGTCACTGCTGCTGTTGTTGTCACTGCTGCTGTTGTTGTTGCCACTTTCTGGTGTTGTTGCCACTGCTGCGTGTTGTTGTCACTGCTGTTGGTCACTGCTGCTTTTTGTTGTCACTGCTGCTGTTGTTGTTGCCACTGCTGCTGTTGTTGTCACTGCTGCTGTTGTTGTCACTGCTGCTGTTGTTGTTGTCACTGCTGCTGTTGTTGTTGTCACTGCTGCTGTTGTTGTCACTGCTGCTGTTGTTGTTGTCCACTGCTGCTGTTTGTTGTCCCCTGCTGCTGTTTGGGTTTTCACTGCTGCTGTTGTTGCCACTGCTGCTGTTGTTGTTCACCACTGCTGCTGTTGTTGTCACTGCTGCTGTTGTTGTCACTGCTGCTGTTGTTGTCACTGCTGCTGTTGTTGTCACTGCTGATGTTGTTGTTGTCACTGCTTCTGTTGTTGACACTGCTGCTGTTGTTGCTGTCACTGCTGCTGTTGTTGTTGCCACTGCTGCTGTTGTTGTTGTCACTGCTGCTGTTGTTGTCACTGCTGCTGTTGTTGTCACTGCTGCTGTTGTTGTTGTCACTGCTGCTGTTGTTGCCACTGCTGCTGTTGTTGTTGTTGCCACTGCTGCTGTTGTTGTTGTCACTGCTGCTGTTGTTGTCACTGCTGCTGTTGTTGTCACTGCTGCTGTTGTTGTCACTGCTTTTGTTGTTGACACTGCTGCTGTTGTTGCTGTCACTGCTGCTGTTGTTGTTGCCACTGCTGCTGCTGTTGTTGTCACTGCTGCTGTTGTTGTTGTCACTGCTGCTCTTGTTGTCACTGCTGCTCTTGTTGTCACTGCTGCTGTTGTTGCCACTGCTGCTGTTGTTGTTGCCACTGCTGCTGCTGTTGTTGCCACTGCTGCTGTTGTTGCCACTGCTGCTGTTGTTGGTGTTGTCACTGCTGCTGCTGTTGTTGCCACTGCTGCTGCTGTTGTTGTCACTGCTGCTGTTGTTGCCACTGCTGCTGTTGTTGTCACTGCTGCTGTTGTTGTTGTCACTGCTGCTGTTGTTGTCACTGCTGCTGTTGTTGTCACTGCTGCTGTTGTTGTCACTGCTGTTGTTGCCACTGCGGCTGTTGTTGTCACTGCTGCTGTTGTTATTACCACTGCTGCTGTTGTTGTCACTGCTGCTGTTGTTGTCACTGCTGCTGCTGTTGTTGTCACTGCTGCTGTTGTTGTCACTGCTGCTGCTGTTGTTGTCACTGCTGTTGTTGTTGTCACTGCTGCTGTTGTTGTCACTGCTGCTGTTGTTGTCACTGCTGCTGCTGCTGTTGTCACTGCTGCTGTTGTTGTTGTCACTGCTGCTGCTGTTGTTGTCACTGCTGCTGTTGTTGTTGTCACTGCTGCTGCTGTTGTTGTTGTCACTGCTGCTGTTGTTGCCAATGCTGCTGCTGTTGTTGCCACTGCTGCTGTTGTTGTTGCCACTGCTGCGTGTCACTGCTGCTGTGTTGTACTGTGCTGTTGTTCACTGCTGCTGCTGTTGTTGTCACTGCTGCTGTTGTTGCCAATGCTGCTGCTGTTGTTGCCACTGCTGCTGTTGTTGTTGCCACTGCTGCTGTTGTTGTCACTGCTGCTGTTGTTGTCACTGCTGCTGTTGTTGTTGTCACTGCTGCTGTTGTTGTCACTGCTGCGTCTGCTATATCAAAACCGAATGACCCTACGAACTCAGCACTTTCCATACCTTTGAAGAGTTTCGAGAGTTTATCTACTCTCTGAGCCTGGCCATGGGCCAGGCTCGTCTGGTGCTTGCCTGGTCAACCAGGCTGTTGCTGCTGGAGGCCCGCTGCCCCACATGTCCATCACAGCCTGGTTGATCTGGCACCTGGTGAAGATACTTGTCCAGTTTCCTCTTGAAGGCTTCAACACTTGTTCCAGCAGTGTTTCTGATATCTTCTGGTAAGATGTTGAAAAGTCTGGCACCCCGGATGTTGATACAGTGTTCCCTTATTGTCCCCACCGCACTCCTGCTCCTCACTGGGTTTATTTTACACTTCCTCCCATATCTCTCACTCCAGTATGTTGTTATGGCAGTGTGCAGATTTGGGACCAAGCCCTCGAGTACCTTCCAGGTATATATTATCATGTATCTCTCCTCTGCTCCAATGAGTACATGTTCAAGACTTGCAGGCGTTCCCAGTAGTTTAGGTGCTTTACAGGCTCAATGTGAGCCGTAAATGATCTCTGTATTTGTTCCAGCTCAGATATTTCTCCTGCCTTGAACGGGGCCGTCAGCACTGAGCAACATTCTAAGTGAGGGAGCTGTTGCTGTTGTTGTTGCTGCTATGGTTGCTAGTACAGCTGTTACTGCTACTATGGCTTCAGGTACAGCTACAGCAGCTGCTAGAGATTCTACTACTTCTACTTGAGCTGCAGCAGCTGCTGCTACCATGGGTCCTGGAGTTTTCCTGAAGAGAGCTCCGGGGGTCAACGCCCCCGCGGCCCGGTCTGTGACCAGGCCTCCTGGTGGACCAGGGACTGATCAACCAAGCTGTTACTGCTGGCTGCACGCAATCAAACATACGAGCCACAGCCCGGCTGGTCAGGTACCTACTTTAGGTGCTTGTCCAGTGCCAGCTTGAAGACTGCCAGGGGTCTGTTGGTAATCCCCCTTATGTATGCTGGGAGGCAGCTGAACAGTCTCGGGCCCCTGACACTTATTGTATGGTCTCTTAACGTGCTAGTGACACCCCTGCTTTTCATTTGGGGGGGATGTTGCATCGTCTGCCGAGTCTTTTGCTTTCGTTGTGAGTGATTTTCGTGTGCAAGTTCGGTACTAGTCCCTCTAGGATTTTCCAAGTGTATATAATCATGTATCTCTCCCGCCTGCGTTCCAGGGAGTACAGGTTCAGGAACTTCAAGCGCTCCCAGTAACTGAGGTGTTTTATCTCCGTTATGCGCGCCGTGAAGATTCTCTGTACATTTTCTAGGTCAGCAATTTCACCTGCCTTGGAAGGTGCTGTTAGTGTGCAGCAATATTCCAGCCTAGATACAACAAGCGACCTGAAGAGTGTCATCATGTGCTTGGCATCCCTAGTTTTGAAGGTTCTCATTATCCATCCTGTCATTTTTCTAGCAGATGCGATTGATACAATGTTATGGTCCTTGAAGGTGAGATCCTCCGACATAATCACTCTCAGGTCTTTGACGTTGGTGTTTCGCTCTATTTTGTGGCCGGAATTTTTGTACTCTTATGAAGTTTTAATTTCCTCATGTTTACCATATCGGAGTAATTGAAATTTCTCCTCATTGAACTTCATATTGTTTTCTGCAGCCCACTGAAAGATTTGGTTGATGTCCGCCTGGAGCCTTGCAGTGTCTGCAATGGAAGACACTGTCATGCAGACTCGGTTGTCATCTTCAAAGGAAGACACGGTGCTGTGGCTGACATCCTTGTCTATGTCAGATATGAAGATGAGAAACAAGATTGGAGCGAGTACTGTGCCTTGTGGAACAGAGCTTTTCACCATAGCCGCCTCAGACTTTACTCTGTTGACTACTACTCTCTGTGT